TGTCTGGGGCATTTTGGGGAGTGACGTTTTGTCCGGGGCGTTTTGGGGGATACATTTGGGTCAGACTTGGATATGGGGAAGAAAGGTGGGTCTTATAAAATAGGTATGGACAGTAGAGCACCATGTTGGACCCGGGGGAGCAGTAGAGTACCGAGTCGGGGCCGAGGGAACCCGTAGAGTCGGTCCAGGAGAAGTTGTAGACGAGTGGCAGGCACAGTTGAAGTTGTAGACGTTTGGCAGGAGCAGTTGAAGTTGTAGAAGCCTGGCAGGAGCCATTGAAGTTGTAGAAGCCTGGCAGGAGCCATTGAAGTTGTAGAAGGACCGTTGAAGTGCGGGAAGTGGGGGGGGGGGGGGGTGTTCTAATCAAATCTAAGGTCTAAGTGCCCTACTGTCTACACCTATTGAATAAGAACCCGTGCCTTTGGATATAACTCGGAGGTATGAAAGCCTGAACCTATGGAGAGAATATTTTTTGAGAAGGGGGGTCGGTCAGTTCAGTGCGGGATTTTGAGTGCGGGTTATTTTCAGTGTGGAGCATTTTGGGAGTGACGTTTTGTCCGGGGCGTTTTGAGGAGAGATGTTTTGTCTGGGGCGTTTTAGGGAGTGACGTTTTGTCTGGGGCGTTTTGGGGAGTGACGTTTTGTCGGGGGCGTTTTGGGGAGTGACGTTTTGTCCGGGGCGTTTTGGGAAGTGACGTTTTGTCCGGGGCGTTTTGGGGAGTGACGTTTTGTCGGGGGCGTTTTGGGGGAAACATTTGGATTAGACTTGGGTATGGTGGAAGACCGGGGTCTTATAAAATGGGTATAGACAGTAGAGCACCATGTAGGACCCGGGGGTGCATTAGAGTACCGTATCGGGGCCCGGGGGACAGTAGAGTCGGCGCAGTAGAAGTTGTAGACGGCTGGCAGGAGCAGTTGAAGTTGTAGACGGCTGGCAGGAGCAGTTGAAGTTGTAGACGGATGAGAGGAGCCATTGAAGTTGTAGACGGGCCGATGAAGTGCAGGAAGGGGGGGGGGGGGGGGGGGGTTCTAAGTCAAATCTAAGGTCTAAGTGCCCTACTGTCTACACCTATTGAATAAGAACCCGTGCCTTTGGATATAACTCGGAGGTATGAAAGCCTGAACCTATGGAGAGAATATTTTTTGAGAAGGGGGGTCGGTCAGTTCAGTGCGGGATTTTGAGTGCGGGTTATTTTCAGTGTGGAGCATTTTGGGAGTGACGTTTTGTCCGGGGCGTTTTGAGGAGAGATGTTTTGTCTGGGGCGTTTTAGGGAGTGACGTTTTGTCTGGGGCGTTTTGGGGAGTGACGTTTTGTCGGGGGCGTTTTGGGGAGTGACGTTTTGTCCGGGGCGTTTTGGGAAGTGACGTTTTGTCCGGGGCGTTTTGGGGAGTGACGTTTTGTCGGGGGCGTTTTGGGGGAAACATTTGGATTAGACTTGGGTATGGTGGAAGACCGGGGTCTTATAAAATGGGTATAGACAGTAGAGCACCATGTAGGACCCGGGGGTGCATTAGAGTACCGTATCGGGGCCCGGGGGACAGTAGAGTCGGCGCAGTAGAAGTTGTAGACGGCTGGCAGGAGCAGTTGAAGTTGTAGACGGCTGGCAGGAGCAGTTGAAGTTGTAGACGGATGAGAGGAGCCATTGAAGTTGTAGACGGGCCGATGAAGTGCAGGAAGGGGGGGGGGGGGGGGGGGGGGGGGGGGGGGTTCTAAGTCAAATCTAAGGTCTAAGTGCCCTACTGTCTACACCTATTGAATAAGAACCCGTGCCTTTGGATATAACTCGGAGGTATGAAAGCCTGAACCTATGGAGAGAATATTTTTTGAGAAGGGGGGTCGGTCAGTTCAGTGCGGGATTTTGAGTGCGGGTTATTTTCAGTGTGGAGCATTTTGGGAGTGACGTTTTGTCCGGGGCGTTTTGAGGAGAGATGTTTTGTCTGGGGCGTTTTAGGGAGTGACGTTTTGTCTGGGGCGTTTTAGGGAGTGACGTTTTGTCTGGGGCGTTTTGGGGAGTGACGTTTTGTCGGGGGCGTTTTGGGGAGTGACGTTTTGTCCGGGGCGTTTTGGGAAGTGACGTTTTGTCCGGGGCGTTTTGGGGAGTGACGTTTTGTCGGGGGCGTTTTGGGGGAAACATTTGGATTAGACTTGGGTATGGTGGAAGACCGGGGTCTTATAAAATGGGTATAGACAGTAGAGCACCATGTAGGACCCGGGGGTGCATTAGAGTACCGTATCGGGGCCCGGGGGACAGTAGAGTCGGCGCAGTAGAAGTTGTAGACGGCTGGCAGGAGCAGTTGAAGTTGTAGACGGCTGGCAGGAGCAGTTGAAGTTGTAGACGGATGAGAGGAGCCATTGAAGTTGTAGACGGGCCGATGAAGTGCAGGAAGGGGGGGGGGGGGGTTCTAAGTCAAATCTAAGGTCTAAGTGCCCTACTGTCTACACCTATTGAATAAGAACCCGTGCCTTTGGATATAACTCGGAGGTATGAAAGCCTGAACCTATGGAGAGAATATTTTTTGAGAAGGGGGGTCGGTCAGTTCAGTGCGGGATTTTGAGTGCGGGTTATTTTCAGTGTGGAGCATTTTGGGAGTGACGTTTTGTCCGGGGCGTTTTGAGGAGAGATGTTTTGTCTGGGGCGTTTTAGGGAGTGACGTTTTGTCTGGGGCGTTTTGGGGAGTGACGTTTTGTCGGGGGCGTTTTGGGGAGTGACGTTTTGTCCGGGGCGTTTTGGGAAGTGACGTTTTGTCCGGGGCGTTTTGGGGAGTGACGTTTTGTCGGGGGCGTTTTGGGGGAAACATTTGGATTAGACTTGGGTATGGTGGAAGACCGGGGTCTTATAAAATGGGTATAGACAGTAGAGCACCATGTAGGACCCGGGGGTGCATTAGAGTACCGTATCGGGGCCCGGGGGACAGTAGAGTCGGCGCAGTAGAAGTTGTAGACGGCTGGCAGGAGCAGTTGAAGTTGTAGACGGCTGGCAGGAGCAGTTGAAGTTGTAGACGGATGAGAGGAGCCATTGAAGTTGTAGACGGGCCGATGAAGTGCAGGAAGGGGGGGGGGGGGGGGGGGGGGGGGGGGGTTCTAAGTCAAATCTAAGGTCTAAGTGCCCTACTGTCTACACCTATTGAATAAGAACCCGTGCCTTTGGATATAACTCGGAGGTATGAAAGCCTGAACCTATGGAGAGAATATTTTTTGAGAAGGGGGGTCGGTCAGTTCAGTGCGGGATTTTGAGTGCGGGTTATTTTCAGTGTGGAGCATTTTGGGAGTGACGTTTTGTCCGGGGCGTTTTGAGGAGAGATGTTTTGTCTGGGGCGTTTTAGGGAGTGACGTTTTGTCTGGGGCGTTTTGGGGAGTGACGTTTTGTCGGGGGCGTTTTGGGGAGTGACGTTTTGTCCGGGGCGTTTTGGGAAGTGACGTTTTGTCCGGGGCGTTTTGGGGAGTGACGTTTTGTCGGGGGCGTTTTGGGGGAAACATTTGGATTAGACTTGGGTATGGTGGAAGACCGGGGTCTTATAAAATGGGTATAGACAGTAGAGCACCATGTAGGACCCGGGGGTGCATTAGAGTACCGTATCGGGGCCCGGGGGACAGTAGAGTCGGCGCAGTAGAAGTTGTAGACGGCTGGCAGGAGCAGTTGAAGTTGTAGACGGCTGGCAGGAGCAGTTGAAGTTGTAGACGGATGAGAGGAGCCATTGAAGTTGTAGACGGGCCGATGAAGTGCAGGAAGGGGGGGGGGGGTTCTAAGTCAAATCTAAGGTCTAAGTGCCCTACTGTCTACACCTATTGAATAAGAACCCGTGCCTTTGGATATAACTCGGAGGTATGAAAGCCTGAACCTAGTTGAGTTTTTGCAGTTCGATAGGGGCGGTAATAAATGAACTTTGTGGAATACATCTGGGTTTTCATTATAGAAAAAGTGCGCATTTTTAGAAAAAAAGAGGGCGTCACATTTGGATCGCTTCTAGAGTTTAGGAGTGTCTGAAGCTCTCGGAGCTTGGAAGAGTTGGGCGATGGGTAAACCCGGAGGAGGGGGGGCCAAACCCATTTTTAACCAACAAAAAAATTATGTGATAAAAAATACCACTTGTAAAGAAAAGGCCTTTTTGCTTTCTTCTAAACGAATCCGCAAAAATCCTTTTTTTACAAGTGGCTTAATTGTGCTTTTCCGTTTTTGCATCTAAGAATTCTGCTGTTTGATAACATTTTGTGCTGAAAATAATAGAACAAAAAATTCGACGCAAACGGAAAAGCACTAAAAAATAATAAATACATATATCATTAAAATATCTTTTAGACCTTAAATGTGGCAGTAGCATCTTCGCCACATTTTTTAGCTTCTCTCGTCTTTGTTCATCATCAATTTGTTGCAGTCCAATGCTCATTTTGAACACTTCTTGCAATAAAAAATCTCGGTGTAGCTGTTGTTGTTACAGATCAGTCAGCCACACATGTACAAGGAGTTGTTGCAGCACACATCTGAATAATACACTTAAAATTTAAAAAGCAAAAATTGACGTCTTCAAAAAAAGACGGAAGAAGTCACCCAAAACCAAGTCACCCCAAAACAGTAAATCCAGCCCCAGCTCATCCCTGCTACAATCCCCCAACAAAACAACCCACCCCATCCCCAAACAAAACATCCAATCGCTTAAACAAGAAAGCCCACCACCAAGACACCCAAGCCCAGCTTTACCCCCTCAAAATCAAACCTTATCATCCTCCATTGTCTGCTTGATGTTAAAGCAGTAAATTCAAGTCCATTCTAGCCGAAACACGATCACGATGAATTTAATCCTCGCCACGATATTTCTCAGCCTCTTGGACCATACGCTCAATCTCATCTTTTGAAAGACGTCCCTTGTCGTTAGTGATGGTGATCTTGTTTTGCTTTCAAGTCGATTTGTCTTGGGCAGAAACATTCAAAATTCCGTTGGCGTCATGTCAAAAGTGACTTCGCTTTGAGGAAAACCACGAGGAGCAGGAGGAATTCCACTCAACTAGAATTTGCCCAACAAGTTGATATCCTTTGTCATAGCGCGTTCACCTTCGTAGACCTTTAAAAAGGGAAAGTTTTCAAAAATTCCCGAAAATTCCTAAATTTTCAAAAAATTTTTCCAAACCTGAATAAGAACACCAGGCTGGTTGTCAGAATAAGTAGTGATTGTTTGAGAAGTCTTGGTTGGAATAGTTGTGTTTCTCTTGATTAACGGAGTCATGACGCCACCAGCAGTTTCAATTTCCAACGAGAGTGGAGCAACGTCCAAAAGAAGAAGATCCTTTGAAAAAAAAATTTTCAAGTTCTCCCTCGAAAAACACTCCCAAAAAATACCTGAACATTCTCAGACTTATCGCCGGACAAAAATTGCAGCCTGAAAAGCAGCTCCATAGGTGACAGCTTCGTCCGGGCTGATGCTCTTATTGAGTTCCTTACCAGAAAAGAAGTCGACGAATTGATTTCTCAACTGGATCCATAGTACTGCGGAACAAATCGGCGCAAAGCTCTTCAAAGCGTGCACGAGTGATGTTGGTGTAGAAATCGATTCCATCAAAGAGAGAGTCAATCTCAATGCTAAAATCGATTCAAAGTAAGGTCAAAAAAGTAAAAAACAACCTCGCTTGAGTGGAGCTAGACAAAGATCTCTTAGCGCGTTCACAAGCAGTACGAAGACGACGGAGAGCACGTGGATTGGTGGCAAGGTCCTTCTTGTGCTTACGTTTGAATTCAGTAACAAAATGGTTGACCTTTAAAAAATATTTTCAGTTAAGAACCCCTTAAAAACTCCAAACCATTCGGTTGTCAAAATCTTCGCCTCCAAGGTGAGTGTCTCCAGCAGTCGACTTGACCTCAAAAATACCATCGGATTCAGAAAACGACCCTGACGGATTCAGAAAACGAAAGGGTCAGAACAGAAAGGCCGAAAACAATCTATCTCATACCCCAACAGGACATCTCATCCCTAACCCAAGCTAATAACCTTAAAAAAGCTCCTTTTCCCCCAGATCATCACCACACAAGACACCCTTTTCTATTCCCAGTTCATCCCTAAAGACGGCACATCCTATCACCAACCAAAACATACAACCCTCAAACGAGAAAACCCATTCCCAAGACAACCAAGCCCAACTTTATCCCTCAAAAACAAACCTTATCATCATCCATTGTCTGCTTGATGTTAAAGCAGTAAGACTCAAGTCCATTCTTACATTAGCCGAAACACAATCACACTAAATCTCATCCTCGCCACGATATTTCTCAGCCTCTTGGATCATACGCTCAATCTCATCTTTGTAAAGACGTCCCTTGTCATTAGTGATGGTGATCTTGTTTTGCTTTCCAGTCGACTTGTTTTGGGCAGAAACATTCAAAATTCCGTTGGCGTCAATGTCAAAGGTGACTTCGATTTGAGGAACACCACGAGGAGCAGGAGGAATTCCACTCAATTCGAATTTTCCCAACAAGTTGTTGTCCTTTGTCATAACGCGTTCACCTTCATAGACCTTTAAAAAAGAAAATTTCAAAAAATTTTTCAAAATTTTTTCCAACCTGAATAAGAACACCAGGCTGATTGTTAGAATAGGTAGTGAACGTTTGAGAAGTCTTGGTGGGAATAGTCGTGTTTCTCTTGATTAACGGAGTCATGACGCCACCAGCAGTTTCAATTCCCATCGAGAGTGGGGCAACGTCCAAAAGAAGAAGATCCTTAAAAAAATTTTTCAAGTTTTCCCTCAAAAAACTCTCCTAAAAAATATACCTGAACATTCTCAGACTTATCGCCAGACAAAATTGCAGCCTGAACAGCAGCTCCATAGGTGACAGCTTCGTCCGGGTTGATGCTCTTATTGAGTTCCTTACCAGAAAAGAAGTCGACGAATTGATTTCTCAACTGGATCCATAGTACTGCGGAACAAATCGGCGCGAAGCTCTTCAAAGCGTGCACGAGTGATGTTGGTGTAGAAATCGATTCAATCAAAGAGAGAGTCAATCTCAATGCTAAAATCGTTTCAAGGTAAGGTCAAAACAGTAAAAAACAACCTCGCTTGAGTGGAGCTAGACAAAGTCCTCTTAGCGCGTTCACAAGCAGTACGAAGACGACGTTCAGCACGTGGATTGGTGGCAAGGTCCTTCTTGTGCTTACGTTTGAATTCAGCAACAAAATGGTTGACCTTTAAAAAATATTTTCAGTTAAGAACCCCTTAAAAACTCCAAACCATTCGGTTGTCAAAATCTTCGCCTCCAAGGTGAGTGTCTCCAGCAGTCGACTTGACCTCAAAAATACCATCTTCAATAGTCAAGATTGACACATCAAAAGTTCCACCGCCCAAGTCAAAAATCAAGACGTTGCGCTCGCCTTGGCCCTTCTTATCCAAACCATAAGCGATGGCCGCAGCAGTTGGCTCGTTGATGATACGCAAAACATTAAGTCCAGAAATCGTTCCAGCATCCTTTGTGGCTTGGCGTTGACTGTCGTTGAAGTAGGCTGGCACAGTGATGACAGCGTCCTTGACAGTTTGTCCCAAAAATGCTTCGGCCGTTTCCTTCATTTTAGTCAAGATCATTGCCGAAACTTCCTTAAAACCCGAAAAGTTGAACTCAAGAAAAGTAAACTTCAAAAAACCTCAGGGAAGAACGCCTTCATTTCTCCTTTAACCTCCACCTGAATTTTTGGACGAGCACCTTCTCCTTGAATAACCTTGAACGGCCAATGCTTCATGTCGGATTGAACGGCTGGATCGTCAAACTTGCGTCCAATCAAGCGCTTCGCGTCTAAAAATAATTTTTGACTTGTTTAAACAAAAAACAAAAGAAAATACCAAAAACAGTGTTCGACGGGTTCATTGCCACTTGATTTTTAGCAGCGTCGCCAATCAGACGTTCAGTGTCCGTGAAGGCCACATAAGATGGAGTCGTGCGATTTCCTGAAGAAATAAAGTTAGAACGCGTAACCTCGTCCAGAAAACAAACCTTGATCATTAGCAATGATTTCGACTTTTTCATGCTGGGATACACCAACGCACGAATAAGTTGTTCCCAGATCAATTCCGACAGCGTTTGCTTTAGACATTTTTAAAATGATAGCTGAAAAATTAGAGTTTAGAAGATTAGGAGCAAAAAATCATTAAACATAACACAAGAAAATGCAAACTACGGAAACTAATGAAAATCGATAAGTGACGCCAAATGAATTTGAACGAAATATTAACACAAATTAATTTTGTTAATTTAATTTTGGAAAATGTCAAAGTGTCAAGTCGTTGTTATTCTGTCAATTGCTCGAAAAAATGGAGTAAAAAATTTCAAGCTACTTTTGAAAAATTACACTCGATGGGAAGGCTCCAAACGATTTAGAGAAACAGACTGTTCTTAATGGTTTGAAGGGTTCTGAAACCAATTTTTAATTGTATGTGAAAAATATTTCTTAAAGTAGATATAAAATTGGTGTACGGAATTTTCGACTCTGGAAAATTCGTCTCCAAGGTTTTTCGGAACTTTCGTCTCCAACATTTTCGGAATTTTCGTCTCCACGGAATAAACGGAATAAATAAAAACTCCAGCGGAAAAAACGGAATACTCGTCACTGGAATTTTAGGCGCGGGGAATATAGGGCGTCGGAGTAAATTTTTTGATTTATTCGACAATAACACAAAATCAAACTATGTAAGCCTATAAAACTATAGAATACAAATAGATCTGGACAACGTGTATTTATTTAATTATTTTAACATTATATAATGAAATTTTTTGCAACACATAATTGTGGAAAAAATAAAAGATGTAAAAGAATAATTTCTAAAAGTGACTAGTTTTGAGAATGGGGAAAGTTAAAATCATCTCCATGTGTACGAAAGGAAAGTCAAATTTAAAGAACAAAGCTCTAATCGAAATATGATAACTATACTATTAATTCCTCTTCAATTTCTATACATTTTATCAACGCACACACAACCATTTGAATAAGTATTCAGCAACTATTAAAAACCGGTCATCGACGCTGTGATTACAAACAATGCTACTATTATCATTATCAACCATAGCTTTTGTGTTTTTCCTCCAATACTTCCACCGGTCAGATGTTCTGTCTCTCCTTGATTTGTTTCACCTTCGTCTCCCTCTTCTGCAGTAGAATTTTCATCATATTGCTGGTCTTGTTGAGGTTGTTCTTGTTGTGAATCGCGTTGAGAACTTTCTTGTTTTCTAAGACAACTGAATTCGCAGTCAGCCAGTTTATCAGAATGTAGACCCTAGACAAATATAACGAATTTAAAATTATCCGGCATGAAGAGAATGGTTGGGCCGGGTTGAGAAAAAAGTGGGTCGGAAAAAAGACTGGGTTTCGAGTAACCCGGTCCATCAGCATGCAGATATTGTTTCATACAAAAAGTATCTTTGATTAATATATTTTAATGAATAACCTTAAACATTCCTGTAAGCGAACGACACATAATCAAAGAAGCTTCCTCACGACAAAGACCTGCCATTGCCTCCATATATTCTTGTAGTTTATTATTCACAGCAGTACAAACTTCCTCATCCGGGTGATCCAAAAATTTTTCGCTGAGGTAGGTGCCTGCAATTTTCATTTTTAATAGGATTTCTTGTGATTTGATCGTTTTAGTTCATATTTTATCCCAAAAAATTAAAAATAACCTGCACTAATGGTCATTTCACCAATACGTTCCCTTGAGAGACATGGCCTGTGCTCACTAAGCATTTTCTGACCTTCGTCTGAACATGCATAAGTAAGCAAATAGTAGCTCTGCATTTTAAATGGAATAATAAAATGATTTTAATAAAAAAAAACCTTAAGAAAGCTGCCAGAATTCTTTCTGTGGGTTAACAAATCACTAACTGTATTACTAGCAGCTACAACCTCTGAATGACTACATTCGTGTTGTTCAGGACCTTCATCCTGAAAAGAAATAATCAGAAAAATAAAAGAAATTCAGGAGAGGTAAATAACGCCTGCAAATTGTCATTAAACGCTATTTTCTATATTATAGAATCTTTAATTAAACCATAAAATAGATTGTATACTTATTTTACTAATCTCAGGTATTTCAAATTTTCTTGCCTGAATGCATTTATCCAATTCTCTAAGGTGCTGACACTGATCATTGTTTATTGTCACAACATTATCTTTTAGCTCATAAAGTGTCCAAGTCCACTCGTCAAGAATTTCGATAAAACATTTGACAAGCGTAACATAATTACACCTACTCTGAAAAATAAGACTATAGATAAAAGTCCGAGTTATTAAGAAATAAAGAAATTTTTCACATTGTTTTGTGATATACAATCCAAAAATAAATATCCAAAAATTAATTTAGGTATATTATAATCCAAAAACAAACCTCCGCATTAGCAATTGGAAATATCAGCAAGATAATAGTGAAAGGAAATAATAGAAAATGACTAGAAAAGATTAATCGGTTGGGCCAATATGTCGACATTCTTTTTTGGCCAGTCATTTTTATAAGCAAAAATGAGACGTTTATTGTTTGAGCGAATTTTCTATCTTTATTGAAAACTTTAAAGGAGAAAAAAAGAAAAGAAATTCAATTTTTTCTCAAGGCCCTATCCGTTGTCTTTATAGGCAAAGTGGTAATGTGGCAGTGATTGTTGCGTTTAGAGAATAAGCAGCAAAGTTTTTCTCTTCAAGTTTTTTTGCAAGAATCTAAAAATGAAAAATAATTATATAAATTAAGAACAAGCTAAAAAATGATTTAAGTAGTGAGTTTTGATGTTTAGAAATTTTAAATAAATTTAAGTAGAATTAATGAAGAAAGGCGATTTATTTGTCATACTACACAAAATTTAAAAAAAATAGAAAGGCTGAAGCAGTCAAAAAATGGCAAACACAAGAAAAGATTGAAAAAAGGAAAGCAATCGTTGTCGGAAGCTGCCAAAAAGTCTGGAGTAAAAAGAATCTACCGCGCGTTTCTCCTTTCACTATCTCACGCAATGACAAACAAGCAATGAAATGCTTGTTATATAGGAGGTTTGAGAAGCTCTATGCACAAATATTATTGAAGTACAAATAAAAAAACGTTGAAGCAATACATAAATAGTATATGTGCAGAGAAAAAAGAATGTCGGGAAATTTTTAGAAAGCGAAAAAAGCAATCGTTCTTTATTGTCAAAGCTAAATATACGTGAAAATATTGAAAGCAAAAAGAAACCCCCCATTATTAGGCAAAACAAAAGATGAAGCAGAAAATGCAACTTATATGTACATAGATAATAGATTTGTGAACCCCGATATCAAGACCAATGTGGGGTTAGAAAATGTTATACAAGTATAGGACATACATACATATGAAGTGATTTTATAGATTTAAATAAAATAGTAATAAATTTGTAAAATGTGTGAGAAACCTTCCTAAATTGAATATGTTTGTTTAGCCCAAGTGTAGAAATGCTTTAAAATGCCTAAAATTGAATTTTCTTTATTTCCCCATTTCAACTCTTTAAAAGAGCAGTCACTAGTTCTTTGTGGAAGATTAAATTGGAAGAAAAACCGGTTGCTATTTTAAAGGAAAATGGGGCTTTCTCGAGGTCCCTATCATCTATTTTCATAAATAAAAATGGTGTTTTAAATATGACAATAATAGTCAAGACTTTGTACTCTTTTAGAGTTATTTATAATGCGCGTTTGCGGGAACTTTAATAATGAAGAAACAATGAAAGATGGAAACCAGCAAGGAGCTAAAGATAAAATAAAAGTATCGAATTTGATAAAAACATACGTAGTAGAATAGGATGAAACTATGAAAGAATGATTGTTGAAAAGATTAGCGTGGTAACTAAAACAACATAGAAACAATTCCAATTAGTACATAGTATATTTAATTAGTTACCGGAAAGATTTTTTTCTTTTCAGTGGGAAGAAAATCACAATGTATTTTATCATTATTTAGCCAACCTTTCTCCATTTTCACTTTCTTGTTGTTTTGGATATGAAAAATAAAAAAGCGAGGGATAGATTTTAAAAAGAAATGTGTGCTTAATTGCTCTAACGGGAAAGAAAGAATAGAGAGAGGGAGAGAAAAGCGCACTTCTATTTTAGTTAAGAAAAAGCGGCACAAATAAGGCAGAAGTGAGCCAATTTTGAGGAAATCGATTACGAAATAGCAAAAGTGTGGATAAGGAACGAGGAAAACTCACAATGCATTTTGTTCGAGCAACTACATATTTAGTTCAATTTGAAAATTAATTATTAAGTACTGAACAAAGGAAAGACGATGTCTTTATAATAATACCCACTCCAGAAAAGCAGAATCGAAAGAGATGCAACACCGTAAATATCCCATAAACTCTAGACATTTTAGCAATAGTATACAGACAATAACGTTGGGATATGTTGTCTCCAATAAACTCAACCTTTATGGAATTTACTATTTGGATATGTTAGGGATTGAGTTACCTGCATTTACTATGGCCAATAAAACTCGGAAATGTGCAGCTCTGGGAACTCATTTTTGGGCCATGGATAGAGAAAAGAGAGAAAATTCAATTTTGATTGACTGACTGACGTATTGTGACTTTATTACAAGAAAAGTAAAATAAAACGCGTGAAAAACAATGGAATATTGAAATATAGATAGTTGGAATAAGAGCTCAAAAAAAGAAAATAGTTAAAAATTGCCTGATTGAATTTGGCAAAATTATAGTCCCTAAGTTAGTTGCTAAAGTACTTTCTCGAAGTCAGCCATAAAAAATTGTCGTTAAAAAAACTATCTCGTGAGGAATGAATATAATTTTTAAATGAGCATGATATTGTGAGCATGGTTTTAGAACGCTGACAGTCCAAGATTTAAGGATATTAAATAGAAAAAATTCTCAAAAATGGATTAAAAAACTACGCGAAGATGGAAATTAATAAAAAATTTTGCCAAAATTTGCAGCATTTAGTGTTTTTATTGATAATAAGGTCATTTCTTCATAATTGAATTAATGGAAGGATAAAAAATAAAGCAGAAGAGGAAACACTTGCATGCACAAGAAAAGAATCTCGAGGCAGAGTGGATAAGTGAAAAGGCAAATTAATTGTTGGTTTATAAGTGGAATTTAAAAAAGAGTTGACCTTGTAAAAATAAAAGAATTAACCCATCCAGAAAAAATTAAATCGCAGAATAAAATTATGCAATAGTATAACAACACAAACTTATTGTTAAACTAAATAGCTAAAATCTCCGATAAAAAAATAAACATACTAAACTGACATTCAATTCATTGTTTTTAGCACAAATCTCGATCATAATTATTTTGAAGGATTTTCTCTTCATTTTTAATCAAACTTTAAAAATAGACAGGTGTCTCTACTTAAGATCAATTCAACTAAAAATGACAGAAAGTATGTACTATTTGTTTATCGTGGGTTAGTACTAGGAATATTCGAACTCACAAATATTTATTCACATTTTAATCTCAATGTCAATAAATCTGAGGTCAATTTTACTGTATATTTTATTAATCTACATAATTGTTAAAAATATAAATTGTTCAATTTCTAATGGAAAAAGAACAGTTTACAAAAGAAAAGAAACTTATCAAAAAAGGAATGAGAATGCTTATGATAAGTTTCAAGAAAGGTACATCAATGTTGTTTCCAATTTTCAATAAAAAATATTAAGTAGAACACTTAAAAAGTTGAGAACAGAAAATGGCCGACTTTTATTAGTAGTTTGCAAGTCAAAATGCTTAAAAGAGAGAGCTGATGTAAGTTATATTTCTAATATTATGGGAAATATTAAGACCCAAGGTTATCAATTATCCAACTTGCATAAAGAGTTTGTCATTTTAAAATAGATAGCCGCGTGGCTAAGTGAACACAACAAGAAAAGCAGTATAAACTCCCAAAATTTCCATAAAGAAATCAACGAAACTCATGAGGAAGCAACAAAGAATGTATCAAAGTCAACATATCAACCATTGGGAATTCACATTCATTACTACCAAAAGTCATTTCCTATTGCCGAAATAGAGAGGAAAATAAAGAAAAGTTCGAAGCAAGTAATTGCCTTTTATGTAGCTGATGGCAAGGTTAGTAGTTTCTTAATTTCTCGTAGTAAATTGAAAAATATTATGAATTAAAAATGTAAATTGAATAGTTTGAGAAGAGAATTAACAAAACTAAGTCATTAGAAGAAAAAATAATAAAAGAAAATAATAAAGCTAAAATAATAAAGTTAAGGAATTTCAAATACCGGATAAGGATCTCACACGAAAAGTAAGTGAAAGCAACCTTTATAAAAATGCAAAAATCCAAAAAAAACTCAAAAGGAAATGTTTCTTCAATGGTTAGAAGCCTATGAACATCCTACAAATATTATATTGTTAAAAGAAGCGATAGAGCTTGATGAATGGCTTAATAATGAATGCAACGAAGTGACAAGACGTTCGCTAGATCAAACAGTAAACTAAAAAATCAAATAAATCTTTCCTAATACTTAGGTTCTTCTAGCAATTCATGATATTGTAAGTTAATATTTAGATGAGTTTATATTAGTTAAAGTAAGTATTGTTTAACAAAATTATTAAAATTTTAAAAAGGAAATATGCCCTGAACCTTTACTGAAGAATTTTGCTCGTTCCTTTATGAATAGATCAAATTACGTGGCAGTCGAGTTGCGACGTCCTCTAAATGAGGAAAACGAATTTATACTGCAATGGAGACTAAAAGGAATAGGTGAAATGTGCCGAATTATTGTTTTAATACGCAGGAATGGATTCATGGAATTATCGCCAGATATAACAGTCACAGAGGTAAAATAATACCCAATGCTGATATAAAAATGTATTAAGTTTTACGAAACTATTAGCAATATATCCCAAATTGGAATAAACCAAAACTGTACTATTATAAACCAACCTCAAGAAATGCAGGAAATCATACCACAATTGAATCCAATAGAATTAGAATTTTTTAAAGAAGAACGCCACTTGAAATCAATAGAGCAAAACCGTCAATATTTAGCAGTTGGCACAATAGGAGGCGTAGCAGTGATGGCATTAGCAATGTCCATTTTTTGGGGTTTAAATGGAAATGATTTTGTACCAAAAAAGTAGAATAATTACTAATGAGCTGCACGTCAAGATATTAAAATTTTGCCATAAGTATTCCAAGATTGTAAACAACTAAAAAAATCTTATAAGAATAATAAATAGAATATTTTGGAGATTTGAATTGCCGTGTAGTTTAATTTAAATAATTATAACTCAATAATCTTTATCATAATATGCTTAATAAATTATTAAATATCACATAAGGAATACTAAAAAATTTAAAAAGATTTTTTTCGATTTAATTTTCCTTAGCATTATCAGCCAATTTAGCAAGCTGAGGAGTTGGACAAAGCCGAAGGTCTGCCAAGGCATCCATAAGAAAAACTAAAAACCAACCAATTTAATTAAAATCTTACTTTTTTAATTATTTACCAATGTCTGCATTTAATTGACGTTTCAATTTTAAGGAAGTTTTCTTAAAGTTGGCAATATTTGAACAGAATGAATTTTGGACAAGAGTTGCCACCTATAAGAATAATAAGTTTTTAAATCAATGGGAAATTTTATTAAGGCAAACCTCTGTCAAAAGCCAAAAATCCGGTTCATCCACTAAAGAAAAGACAATTTAAAAATTTAGAAAATTTATCAAGTTTGGGAATAAAACTCCGTCCTAAGATTTAATCGACAGATTGTCTGTCCCTAATCTAAAAATATAAAAGATTAACCATTAAATGACGTTTTTCCATTGGATGCTGCACAACTAATTGCAGTAATAAAATTTCTATCATTTCCATAAGCACTTATAGTATTCATCTGCGAGAGAAGTCCATGTCCAATTCCAGTAACATAATTTTGAGGTGACACGCTAAAACTGGGCAAAGAAGTGCTTAAATCATCTTTCGAATTGCCTGAACCATCTACTAATTCTTCAGCATGCTTTTGCCACTAAAATATTTTCAAAGGTAAAAAATGAAAAGATAACCATTTTTTGCATTTCATCTTCCATAGGGTAAATTATTGTGTTTGCTATTGATTCTATTTTACGTTCAACAACCTTCACTGTTAACGTGTCAAGAATTGAATATTTTGTTATAAGCATTAGATTTTCTAAAACAAAAATAAATTAAATTGGAAAATTTTTTAAAATACCTGTTGAACCCAAACTTTCTGAAGTTACTTGAATAATATAATCGTTGACATCTTTAACCATATTAAGGAGATATCCTAAAAAAAATTTTATTCATTGCAAATTTTACGTAAAAAAACCTGCAGAACAAATGGCAGAAAGTTTATCTTCAGTATTTTCTTGTACACTTTTCCTTTTTCGTATATCTACAGAATTTGTTTTTATATTTAAAATGTCCTGATTTTGAAGAAAAGAATTTATTTCACGTATAGCTAACTAAAATTGATTTTTAAAAATATTTTTATTGAAAAAAAACCTCAAAAGACGGAATAATATGTTTAGAAAAATTTGTGCCAAATGTGCTTCTTGCCTCGTTAACAATATCATACATACATGACTGAATATCTTCCAAATAAGGCATGAGCCAATTGTGGTGATGTCGAGAGCTCTTATCTGGCTGGAAATAATTTAGGTTATTCTAAACAAATTTAAAGAGACCGTGATTTTATTTATTGTACATAAAAGAATTGAAGTAACATGCTTCCCATAGTCTTCGCTTATGATAACATAAATTGATTTGGCCAATTCAGAAAAAAGAAATAGAATAAAGGAATCCCCTTCTTCCTCGATCATTGCAGTATAGTCATAGAGAATCTGAAACAGAATTTTATAATTAATAGAAGTTAGAAAATAGATTTAATAATGCTTGGAATGAGAATAAAAAATTTCATAGAAATTGACTCACTTTGCCGCATGAATACATTTGTTAGGGAAAAGAGAATAAAATAAACTGGGGGAAATAACCAAGGGTACCAAATTTTACATTAATTGGTAAAATACCTTTCCAATTGATTTAGCAGCAATGAATGGACTTTCAGCATTAGAAATAATGGTAGTGATAACAGACAAAATTGTTTGCCAATTTGATTCTATTGCTTCTTTAAGATTTTTACAGACAAATTCAGAACCATTTTCTGCAATAAATAAATCTATCGTCCTAAAATGTGTTAAATTAAAATAATTTACAAATTAAACAGACTTGTGACAACGTTTCCAAATCGTAAATATTTCATCCAAAATATTCCAAAGAGAAAGCTCTTCCTTTTTTGATTCAAAAAACGATTTAAGTTTACTCTTTGGATAACCACCAAGATTCGATTCAAAAACTAAATACATACAACATTTAATAAAAAATTTTTTTGATGATTAAATACCTTGAATTCGATCAAGCGAGGAATATTTTTCACGTATATTTTCTAGTTGTTTTATATCATTTGAATCCAGTGCAAGAATTGTTGCTGGCGAATACCAAGCAAGAAACTCCTCTCTGATTTTTTCAAAAGTTTCGAGTTGAGATTTATCCAAAGAATACTTAAAAATAAAGAAAAAAATTTAGTTGAGAATTCTCAATTTTTATTAACTTACCATTTTTAGAATATCACAGCTTTGTTGCAATGATACTAATTTTTGATATCTGATTGAAATATCTGAAGCATCTAAAATTTGTAGTTCATCATGTGTGTTGTCCCAAATTAATTTCGACTAAAAAAATAATGACCTTCAAAAAAGTAAAAAAATACTCGAAGGATTTCAGCCAATTTATCCGCCCTTCTTTTGGCTGCATCATGTTCTAAAACAGCATTTGGTTGTTTAGTATTAGTTTCTGTTTGTTTGAGCATTCGAAGATGATCTTGTAAACCTTTTTTGAGTGCATCCAATGCAGGTGGTCCTAATTGATTAGCTTTTCCAAGACTGAAAAATAAAATCAAACATAAAAATGAAAAGTTAATTTACGTCAATATAAGAGATAAATCAGTACGATCTTTAGCAAAAACTTCTTTATAATGCATTTGTAGATCATTTATTATTTGAAAAGAATGTGTTGGCGAATCAACAACTTGTTGTAAATTTAAGACATGTAATTCATCACAGATTTTTTCATGTAGTCGTAAATCAAGTTCCTAAAATATAAATGATTACAAGTTAAAAAGACTTATACAACCTCTTTAAGTGATAAATTTAAAGGCATTATTCACAATTAGTTTTTGAAATTTTTTAATAAAAGATGCTCTAAATAATAAAAAATGACTGTGAAAAAAGAAATTAAACATAAGAAAAGAATTATTTTTTACACTAAAAATTGAAGGAAGAAATTTTCAACTTTGGCAAATTGAGAAGATCAAATTAAAATTTTGAAAAATTGAATCAAGTAGGCAGGTTTACCGTGGAAAGATATAGCCTGATAATATTTTTGAAGTAAAACTGATTAAATCACAGTGCCCAAGACAACTGCGCCTACTTGTCCTCGGTCGCGCATACTTGGCCCGCGGGCCCGCGCCTACTTGGGCTGTACCATATTTTGAAAATCATTTTTGAAGATATTTTTTATTTTTTACCGTTTTTTACGTAGGTCCTGATTTTCTTTTTATTGCGTTCTACAGAACCAGGTACAATGCAAGCAATAAAATGTGTCGTGGTTGGTGATGGTGCAGTTGGTAAGACGTGTTTATTGATCAGCTATACAACTAATGCATTTCCTGGAGAATACATACCAACAGTTTTTGATAATTATTCAGCGAATGTGAGTTTTTAATCAGGTTAAATTTTTAATAATTTTTTTTACAATTAGGTCATGGTCGATCAGAGGCCAATCAACCTTGGGTAAATTTTTGAAAATACTGAAGCGTTCTTTAAAATATTTTTTTTTATTTTTAATCTGACAGTATTTTTATATTTTATTAAATTTTTTAAGGCTTTGGGATACAGCTGGTCAGGAGGATTATGATCGTTTAAGACCACTTAGCTACCCACAAACTGACTGCTTTATTCTCTGTTTCAGGTTTCTTTCCTAATTTTTATTTTAATAAGTTCGACTAAAATTTAGCCTTGTCAATCCCGCATCTTTCGAGAACATTCGAGCAAAATGGCATTCAGAAGTCTCGCACCATAGTCCTCATACTCCAATCATTTTAGTTGGTGAGTTTTTTTTATATTTTCCTTCAATTATTAAATTCTTTTTATTTATTTAAGGAACAAAACTTGATTTACGTGAAGATCCAAAAACGGTTGAAAAATTACGAGAGCGTCGACTTACACCAATTAGCACAGTTCAAGGACATCAAATGGCTAAGGACATTAAAGCTGTCAAATATTTGGAGTGTTCTGCCTTGACTCAAGTTGGATTGAAGCAAGGTTTATTTTAAATTTTTGATATATATCTTTTTTTAATTTTCTCATTTTAAAGTTTTTGATGAAGCAATCCGTGCTGTGCTTTGTCCTCCTCCACCAAAACCTAAGAGAACATGTGGTGTTCTTTGAATTTACTATTTTGGTTACATCATCGAGGGTTTTTATTTTCCAAGATTTATACATTTTTAAGCCCTTTTTCTGTTCAAACTTGCTTATCTTTTCACTAAAAATGTTAGTTATCTGATGCTTAACCCAAAATATATACTTAACTATGCATTCAGCTTTTAACTATAATCACGTTTTTCATTGACATAATTAACCTTATTCACTATACTTTGTTATTTTCTAGTGACATTTATTGGCTGCCTAACGGTAAATATATTCGCTTAACTTCGTATATGTTGTATTCGGAATCTTATATCAAATTTATAAATTAGTGCTCGGAAACTGTTAATCTCTTAATTTTATCTTGGTCTTAGTATTTATTTGCCAGTGAACGCCTAAAAAATAAGTTTCCGAAGTACTATTTCCAATCTCTCTCATATCACCAATAAAACAATGTATTATTGAATAAATTCTGTGCCTTTAGTAATTAATTTAAGAGTCGATTATTCACAAACAACTTTTACTGACACCCCCAGAAGAATGCCTTCTAAAAATCGTATTTTCATCTGAAAATTAGACGACGCGGTATATTAGATTGGTGCTCGGATAATCATAGCTACAACAAACAAATTTTAAAAGAGTGAAAATTATTTATTGCTAGAATTCTGTTTTATTTCTAAATGATTTAGAAAATCTCATTAATTCTAATCAGCTGTTTTAAAGGCAGCTACAACAATTTTGCTGTTGTACCACTTTGTTGTTGTGACGAATACTTGTAATTTACCCAATTAACATTTTCAACTCTTTGTGTGTTTTGTGGCTGGTTTACTGGATAGGCAAAATGTCCTCCTGTTGCATCTGTTTTAAATTCGAACTTTGACCATTCTGGTACGTAGAGCCTTAAATAAAAATTTTGGTTGTCCAGTTTACAAGTCCAAGCAAGTTTTATCCGTACAATAAAAGATACACCGAACAGGGCATAACACCCAGGTCAGTGTTTAATTGTTCTTATCATGTTGAACCAGAATCTATTTAAAAAATCAAACAAATATACCTAAAACAGTTTAGTCGACGTATCTCAATCGACACTTCATCCTCATATTTTTGTCGACGAAGTACCTCGAAATTGAAGATTATTTTAATAAATCAAAGCATTTATACAGCATAATCAGGAAGACAAAAATCGTAACAATAGGAGCACGATTCGTCTAAAAAGGAATTAAATTAACAGAAATATATAGAAAGAAAAAACCGTTTGTGTAGAGTGTGTGTTTCAGTAAGTACCACTGAACATTTTGACAATCTTCGATTGGATCCTTAAATTTACCTTCGACAAATGATCTATCGACCTGTTCGACTGTGAATTGCCTTTATAAAAAGTATTTTAAAATAATAAAAAATTGTTACCAGTATTCCTGCCATCCAAATTGAGCATATACCTGGAAAGATTATTATAAATATTAAAAATAGCCAAGACTAACTAAAATAAAAAAACTATATCCCCTCTAAATTCAAAACATATCCTTTTCATATAGTTTTTGTATTAAACATACCTCTTGAAAGGTTTTTTTCAACGCATTATTCACTGAACTCATACTAGGTAATGAACTTGTATCTAGTTGCATTATAAAACAAATTATATGCCTTCCAGCACCGTCAGTAAGGGAATGATCAGCCACGGCCACATACCCCTTAAATTACTTCATTATTAAAAAGGTTACAACCATTTTTTAAGTTACACGCATTTAATTCCTTAAATATTTCCCATATTTTTGTCACCTATTTAAGGTTTCTACAACCAAAAAATCCAATGTACTGACTAGATAAAGAAAGCCCAACAATTCAAAACATTGTAAAAATTAAATTAAATACCGTGTCAAAATCAACAGCAGTAAAGCTATTCGACTTAAATGGAGGACTTCCAAGTAATTCAAAATGTAATTGTGCAGGACTGTGTAGATTAACATAAAGTTTGCTGGGTGATCTGTTGCTTGAGCCTGTTCGGCGTTGACACTCCTCACAAATAGGAGGATATAACCAAAAAGAGAAGGTAGATTTTGGAAGAAAAAGCGCCGAGAAAATGAACCAAAAAATCAACAGAAGAATAATTAAAAATATAAAAATAAAAATTGAAACAAGTCGAGGTCGTGTCAATGCGGATTCCCTAAATTTAAAAATTATTTTTTGTTATCGATTTCCTAACCTCATTTGTCTGCTTAATTCTGTAAATGAGCCTTTCAATCTGTCAAGTGAATCCTCACCAATTAAATGTTTTTGTTTTTTAAGTTTTCCAAGCTCCAAAAATTTTCCAGTCCATCCCGACAGCTTTTTTGACTCGGAAATTGCCGATAAGTTAGAAGGTTGCTAAAAAAATATATTGTTTATGTGTTAATCCTAAGAATTCCTTACACCATAAGATAAATCATGGGGAAGTTCTTGCATCCGTCGATAGCTATCTTTTCGTTGGATCGAACTGAAATACTACAATATTTTCGTAATAATGTAAAACCTGTCGGAGGAAGGACTTCTGCACGGGTTACCTTCAATTTCAGCCAAAGTATGTCGCGGATGCTTGAGTATACCTGGACTACTTAATCGACTTAAACCTGCTCCAGCAAAATCTGTCCTTCCTGACATACTCTCTTCGTGCAACAATTTTCCAGCCCCATGTGTCTCTATTACTTGTGTTGTACCTGCTTCAAAAGAATTTTTTAAATTTCAACTTTAGTAAAAAATCAAAACCATGTGTTTGCACTTGGTGAAGATCATACCCAAATTGATTAATTGAAATTGGTCTCTCCGGCGTTGATTGGAAAATTGGAGGTGAGACAAATAATGAAGGCTGAGGACCCATGGAAGGACTATAAAAAACTGAAGCATCGCGATCGACATCTTCTTCGCAAGGCAAATTAGACCTGAAAGTTGAAAGAACTTTTCTAAATTGCAAGAAAGCTAAACAACCTTGTTCTTATATTCTCACTTAAATCTGTAGAGACAAAGTTCTCTGTAGATTTCTTTATAAAAGAAACAGGTGTAAAGGCTTCTTGGTTGGGGAAAATTAAAAATTTATAATAGAGGAAAAAAGGAATGAGAAACTGACCAGATGAAGTAACTGGGCTATAAAAAATCTAATTAGTAAATAAAAATAAATTTAATTAAACAAACCGACTGCTCTCCTCCACAGTTCTCTCAATTATTTCAATTTGCTCTACCTGTTGGTGTCGCTTCGAATTTTGCATTTTTTTAAACAGAAATTGGGCAATTGGGAAATTGATAAATTATTCTAAAGTGGATGAATGAGCTCCCAAAAAGGCAGGCCGATTGTAAAAGATTCAAAGTAAAAGAATATTTTAATGACAATTCATTCGAAAATAATGTTAAAACTATTAAAGTTTAAAAGAAAAATTAAAAGTGTTTTTAAACTTTAAAAGAAGTTTCAACCGCCTAAAATACATAGCAACAACAACTCTTGTCGCGTCCACTCTAATGGATTTGTCAGCTTCCTCTAATTTTTTAGCTCAATAGAAGTCTTTTCATCGATTTGTGTGAATTGCAGACGCCTCTCACTTTAAGCGGGCAACGCGCACAACGGGTGTGCAATTCAAAACCGGTTGTCAGGAATTATTCATAAATGGGCAAAGGATTAAAAACAAGGAAGGATGAGCTGAGTTTGAAAGAGTAGGAAGTAGATAAAATGTAAATATATTAGTAATGAACGCAGTAGAAAGCCTAACTGATAGGATTTAAGAAAAGCTGACAATGAGGGGTTGATTTAATGGGAAAGTATCAAATAGAAAATAAAAAACTTAAAGGAATAAAAAAGAGCTTTTAAAAGAAAACAATGAATATTATTTCGTAAAATGACCTATTTTAATGGGAAACTAACAATAAGCTAATACCAAATCTTGATTTACATTTAAATTATTTTAGCTCAATACCCTGAAAGATATCAAAGGACTCCATTTAAAATTGGGAATGCCGTAAAATTTTTTAGAAAAAATGGGCAGTATATCAAAGAAATGAAAAGAAAATTTCCGTTAAAATTTTTGAGATTATGTCGAGGAGTAACGAGTTCCGTTCAAGGTCGTGTGCCGTTCCCACTCTGTTCTAAAACTTTAAAATTATTACCAGAACTAAAAAACTTAATAAATTTAATTTTTATCAACAAGCCTCAATAACAACATAACATTTTCTGAAAAATAAATCCACCTTCCATTTAGTATTCGCCACGGGCCAATTGTCGTCGCTGTTTTTTCTTAGACTCCTTCTTCACCTTAACAATTGCTCCAGCAGGCTTAGAAACGATTTCCTTCTTCTCAGTTAAGATGACTTCAATATGGCAAGGCTAAATATATTTATGTTAAAATTTTTCCAGATATTAAGGAATTATAGATGATAGTATTAAAGTTGGATTAAATCTCTAAACCGGAGACCAGAAATGATTTACAAGCAAAAATATGAAAAAGCAGAAATTCAGCTTATAAGAAAGATACCCCTCCCTACCACTAACCTATCAAACACTGAATCAAATTTAAAAATTTTTATTAAAAAAAAATACCGAGCTCATATAAGGGTTTATACGTCCATGAGCCCTATATGTGCGTCTGCGCATTTTTGCTGCAGCTTGCACCACAATATGGTCAATCACAAGATGGTCAACATCGAGTCCTTTAACCTCAGCATTGCTTTCAGCATTTCTAAAAATATTATGTGAGATATGTATAAATTGTAAAAAATTAACCGCAAGAGTTGTAAGAGAAATTCCGCAGACTTCTTTGGCCAGCGTCCCTGAGTTGTACCTGTAATAATAAAAATGAAATTGAGTAATTTCTTTAGTCCCCCACACCAACATTTTTATACATGACATAAACTTAAAAGAATCAAGATAAACTTATATTCCTCCTGCAACAATTTAAAAAATACCCCAGGCTTTAGCCTGCGCCTTCCGTCCAACACCACCATTGAAGTGACGAAAAGGAACAATCTCCTTCTTTTCCTTAACATTCTCCAAAAAGCGAATGGCTCTTTTCAATGGCATCCCTTTGACCGCTCTAGCAGTCTCATGCGTGTTTTTGAAGTGAACACGCAAGTCAGAACCACGCGCCTTACACGACTTTGTATTGTTGTCTGGACGTTTGCAATAATGAACTTTAGTCATGTTTAAGATCTATAAACTAAAAGAAATCTTCAAAGGTGAATGTAGAACAAAAATAATAGCTTGTTTAGAAACAAATGGAGAATATAAATAAAAAGTAAAACGAGTTTATTAAAAAATATAAATAGTAAAAACTTTCAAAATATCAAGTTTTCTTAAAGCCATATTTTTTCCGTTCATAGAACAAATCCGTTTTAGCACTCCCTAAATTGACAATCTTCGGACATCCATCTCTATCCTTTTCCATAATTGTGCATTCTTTGCAATAATAAGCATCACTAGTTCCAGGACCACCACAAATAACACAACGCCCCTAAAAGAACTTATGTTGCATTTCAAACCTTAATGTAAATAAACCTGGTAACTTCCATAATTGCATTCATCACAAATTCGAACAAGCGTGGCTGGTCTAACATAAGAATCACAAATTACACAGCGACCATCACACTTGTCACATAACCTGCCAATCGCAACACCTGGCTGTTTACCTAAAAAGATAAAAAAATTTAATCTAAGTTAGGTCTGTATTTGAAACTTACGACAAAAGATTAAATCCGGATGGTGTTTGGCCATTCACAATAAATATAATTTATTATACTAAAAAGAAAAATAACAATTATCTTGGTAGAAATAAAACTATTAGAAAAGTGAAAAATGTGTCTAACATTAAATCAGATAAATTCAATAAATACACCTTGCCAAATTATTGTAAAACTCTATGACGTTTCAGTATCGCCGGTCTTATTTTGAGACAGAATCTTTTTTTATTTCTAACCGAGTTAAACAATTATTAAATCGGTAGAAAGCTCTGGAGCTCTTTGATCTTGCAGAAATAATATGCGTATTACTCGGATCGGACGCGAATTAAGAAAGTTATGGCCCAAATATTGCCTCAAAATTGAGTCGGCGATACTGAATCGTCCCTTATCGAGAGAAAATGATTGAGAAATATTGTAGTTAGAGAAAAAAATAAAACTGGAGAGAAAATGAAAAATGACACTTTGTCCGAAAGTTAGAGAAATTATAAAAAAATAGTATGGGTAGAGATAAAGAGGAATATATCCGGACAAGGTCAGTTGAGAGCGGAGTTTAAAAATTTTAACTAACTGATCATTAATTGATCATTTAATCATTTATTTTGATCATTATTTTGATCATTTATTTTACTAATTGATCATTTATTTTAAAACATTTAATTAGAAAATCGTAACTATCGATTTCAATTGATAACTAAATAATTCTATAAATTTTAATTTTTCAAAAAATCAATGCTAATATATATCAATCGATTAAATCAATAAATTTATTTTCTAAAAATAATGTATTTATGTATAATCATTAATTTACTAAATAAAATACAAAAAATAAACAAAGATCTAGGCCTAATTTATAGATGATAAAATCCTGATCCAGAATATTTGAATTAGACCCAGACCTATTTGCAATGTAAACATAAAAAGTATCTAGTAAGATGCAGATTATATTTGATATTTTAAACTATTTTAATTTTACCGTAAAAATTCTATCCTAAAAAATTTAAAATTCTGCATCAAAACATGTAGTACATATAAAAAAATACTGATAATAATAGTTAGATTCCTTGTCTTGATAGTATTGAATCCTAATTATTATTAGAAATTCTATTTTCAATCCTTATCTTTTGCCTGTTTATTGCTAGTGTTAATTCGGCCATAGAATCCATTGGTAAGGATGGTTTTATTGGTGTAGTTCTTTTTGGAGGTGGTGGTGGGGGAAGTTGTTTTAGAATCTTATGAAAAAGAAAATAAATTAACAATAAGAAATCAATTCGGGCCCCAAAACAGAAATCAAAAACCGGAATTTAAAAACCAGTGAATCCAGACTGATTCGTTTAAAATCAGTTTTGGCAGCCACAGAAATAAAACAAATAATGATAGAAAATTTTCTTACTCGAATAGGAGACGTTGGAAGTGAAGAAGGTAGTGGCGGGAGGGGAAAAAATTCTTCGTCTGCCTCATCCGAATCGTTTTCTTCTAATCTATTCGAAAGTATTTTTGTTGATTCAAAAGAATTTTCAGCGAAGGGAGAAAGAGCAAAATTACTATTTTGTTGTTGATGTTGTTGAGATATTCCAGAATTTGATGGATTTGGTTGGCGTTTAATAGTATTGCAAAAATCCTAGAATTATAAAATATTTTCTAAAAATCAAAATTTATTATTAAACCTGTTCAAAAGCAAGTCTGCCACATTGAATTGTTGGCGAACCAAAACGGGTATCACAACTTGTCCGCGAAGAATGAGACGTACCAAGAGCAGCAACAACAAATCCTGGTGTTGAACAAGGAGAAGCAGAAATGTTTGGAGGCCTTCTATAAGGCGAATGAATTCCAACAGGTGACCCAAATAAATGTTTTGATGGAACTTTAGGAATTTCAACATGAACAGAGCAAGAGTCAATAGGCTCGCAAGAAGCATGGGCAGTGCAAAATGCTTTATATAGAGTAGAAAAGCCGTTCTATAAAAGGAAAATTTAGAATACATCGTACCTCCTGATGAAAATATTAATCGCTTAGGCAACCTCCTACTCCCGTGACAAACTACTTTATAAGAGTTTGACATACCAAAAGAAAAGGGATGATATAAAAAAATATTTTTAAAACCTTGATAATACGAAGAGCATTAATCCACTGATTAAAAGTATGTTGATCTTCAGCACAAATATATTTAACAAATTTACTGGTTTTTAATTGAACACGCGGATGTTTTATTGCAAATCCCCACTCGGTTGGTGCCTTGTATTTCTTACGCCAATCAGTACAAATATATACCTTAAAAATACAGTTAATTTTTGTTAAAAAATAAAATTATACTTGATTATTAAAAACACTCATAAGACATTGTAGATCGCGCGTTGGACCACGTGTCTTTCCAGGCTTTGAGACATAATATAGACCTTAAAATAAATAATACAATCGACTGTCAATTGATGCAAAACCAAAACTAGAGTGGAATGCCTAAGTTGGGTGGAGGAAATGCCCAAACGATATTCCTTATCGGGTGTACAAATAATTGGGGTCTGACTTGAATAAAAATTAATAAAAAAAAATACAGACCAGAAGCTCTAAGAACAAAAAAATGTCTTCTCCACGACTTTTTTCCATCCATTTTAAGTAAAAGCCATCCCTCCAATTCTGGAACTCTGCCACCAGAACCACCATTCTCATCTCCCATATAACTTTCCAACAAACGTTGCTTCTGTAATGAATCCCAATTAGCAACACTATTGGCACAAGGAAAATCGTTGCGATTTCGATCAGTCAAAAGAAATTGTTGAGGAGAATGAAAAATTGACCATTTATAAGGTAAACGAATAAAATGAAGTTCATTAGGCGAATTCTCACCCCATTCTTCCAAATTTTCCACAGTGAATTCATTATCCTCATAAATACGTTCTGAAAAAGAAAAAATTAAAGTTTATTTTATTAGACATCCTATGTATTTCACAAAATTAGCTAAATAAGTCCTTGTCAGTTCCTCTTGACACAAACCCAATATTTTTTAACTTACTAGTACTATATTTTCATATAGGAAATTCAATCCTTATTCTAATGTAAAATTAATCCAGTACACCCTTTCACATTTCTTGACCATCTGCTTATATGTATTTAGTTTGTACACAACCCTTAAAAGGGTCTAAGGATAGAACAAACAAATAGTAGATAAGAGAACAGAGTATATAAAAATAAAAAAAACCAACTAATTAATAATTTTGGATATTCTTCAACAATTGCGTGTTCAGGAGTTAACACACAATTAATTTTAATAGCCAATTGTTTCATTGTTTCAGCAACAGTCCAACGTTCATCGATTAAAATTCCTCGTTGAGTTCCATCTTCTAAGAATATTTTAACAAAAATCTAAAAAATAAATATTAATTTTTTCATTTTATTTTTTTTGCTAACCTTTTTCATTTTAGCCTCTTTCATTTTTTCCAATGCTTCACGTATTTTAGCTTTTTTGTTTTCATCTTTCGAGATTGTAATGGCAGAATTGTACGAACCAGCTGAAGATGGTGGCCTTGATCCTCCCAGAAATGACGATGAAGTTGGATAAGATAATAATCGCGTGCCAACATTTTGTTGGATATTATTCAAAATAATCTAAAATTTTGAATTATATCGAGTTGCTTGAAAATAAAATTAATTATGGCAATTTATAATTATAAAAATAAAATTAAAGAAAAATCGTTCGCCCATTTATTTGACCTTCTTTGTTCAAAACAAAAAAATGCTTATTTACATGGCTTTTAGAGCTACCTGATTGAAATGTATTCTCGAGGTAAATGTCAAAGCATATGTCCTTATTACAAATAAAAGGTTATAGGACGAACACAAACACAAAATTACCAAGCCAAAGGATATGCGATACTATTCTCTTTCTGACCTAAGTATTGGGAAAACTAGCAAGGAAAGAAAACTTGGCATACAAGCTAAAAAGAAAAGGTAAAAATAAAAATAGCACCGTTAAACATATGCTAATATGTAAGAAAACGGACATACTAAAAATAACTAGAAAAAAGAACAGATGCGAGTCCTAAATGAAACCAGAAAATTAGGCCAATAAAGCAAGGAATTTCAAATTTTACAAATTAAAAAAGAATTAATTAAAATCTACCTGTCTAGTAGGTGATGGTGTAGAACCAAGAAAACTATCAGCACTAGAAAATTCTGAATTACAATTAGCCACGTTTTTAGGCAATAATAAAGCATTTCCACCAGCAGGCATGTGCGATGTAGATTCTGTTGAAGAAGAATCTCCAAATGCTGAATCAGTATCAGCCGGATTGAAACAATCATTAAAATCTAATCCATTTGTTTTAGTATGATGGAAGTGAGAATTATTCGAAGAAATAAATCTGTTGTCGTTAGAAGAGGATTTTCCGTTTACATTAGAATTTCCATTGATATATTGAAATTGAACATGCTGTTGTTGTTGTTCTTGATTGACCATCTGTGGAGATGGCAATTTCGTTGTTGGTTGTGTATCTTTTGACGATGGTGGTAGTTTTGGTTTAGATGATGGTAATGTTGGAAGACCTAGAACAAGCCTATCACCCGCCTCACCACTTAGTTGTTCTTCAAGTTCAAGCAATTCAGTTAAGATTGTGTCCAAGTCAACTTCATCTGAACAGAAAAATAAAATATTAAACAGTAAGAGTAAAAATTATTTATTTAATAACCAGTTTTTAAGGGAAATTTTACTTAAAATTTTTAAAGTTTTATTCGAAAAAAATTAAAAACGAAAAAAAGCCAACCTTTCGCCTGTGCCATACTGAAACGAACAATATCAAGTTGTGGTTTTGGTGGCACAGCAGGTCGTCGTTTAACTGCAACAGAAGGTAATAATGTGGTTTGGTCGTTAGATTGTTGTTGGTTTGTTGTATTCGAAGGAGTGGTGAAGATTTGTTGGGGTGCTGCGTCTTTTTCTTCCTTCCCTTCATTTTGCTTACCAATGGGCGGGGTAATCGACCGCAAAAGAGTTGAAGATGTGGAGGAGGAAGAAGCGTTGCCAGACATATGCAACGGGTTGATGAATTTTACTTTAAAGAAAAGAAATTAAAAGGTGTTAAATGATAAAGGAATTGGGGGACCTTGACCCGGAAAAATGGTAAAATCATGCTGCATTTTAATTTTATTATCTACTTTTTCCTTAGAATGGTCCCACTTAAATTGCAATTCGTGTAACTTTTCACAAGAACAAAAATTTTGGAAAAAGAGCACTTTACTGTCAATCGACAATTCTCTTTTGAAAAATTTAATATTGACTGAAAAGATAATTTATTCTCCCTTTTACAGTCAGCCTTCTCATAATAAAGGCAGACGTTTGGAAATTTGCCGCGATTGTGATTATAGGACACTAGAAAATTGTACTTGATTACGGAATGGGTGATTGAGTGTTGTCATTCACCGCATTTTTTTCAGACGCATTCCATAATTCTCGATTTCCTTAACCCTTTACTCAAAATATTTATTCTATCGATGTTATCGCCGCGAATTATTTATTATTTTCTATTTTCACTTCACCCTTTTTTCATATAAAATTTATTTCTGACTTTTCCCATATTTTTAACAACAAATCCAATAAAAAAATGTAGCCACAAAAAAAAATTAAAAAAAAATATATAAAAAAGAAATCAAAAAAGAGATGAGGGTGATCGAGGTATAAAAGAATCCGAGAAGAAATAATTTCTTCATGCCAGATGTTTTTAACTATTAGAATGAAGAAAAGGAAGTGAAATGGGAGGATTAAATCCGATGGGAGGATTAAAAAATAGATCTAAAATGTTTAACCCTTTAGAGTCGATTAAGGGAAATTTGGTAGTAAATCTCGCAATTTTTGTTCTCATTCCCAACGATATTTAAATATTAATTGTAATTTGTTCGATATTTTTATTTAGGAGAAAAAAATAAATGTTTGCGGATGAAAGCAAAAACCATAGTTGAAGAATGGGGGGGGGTGTACACTTTACATTTCCTTCATGCCCTCGAGAGACTTTGTCCACATTTTTTTGAATAGCATGACAACAATACGTACATAATAAATACATATACTCCTTTTTTAAGAAAAAATAAAGGCATATTGTGTATTGAGAAGTGTTATGAAGCTATATATGTAGTTCACGTGTACAACGGCCATTTCCAAAAAAATATGTAAAAATCTTCAAATGAAGACCAAAGAGAGAAAAAAATAGATAACTTGAAAATCTGCGCATATATCCAATTAAAGAAAAAATGAGTAGGAAAAATAAAAATCAAACAGAAGCAGATAATCTTAAAAAAGATAAAAGGGAAGTGAATTATAAAATCCAATTATTATGTTGTTATAATCTCAAGGTTAAAACGATAAAAATTTGAGTCAAACTTATTTAAATTTAAAAAACAAATAAATATAAACTGTAGTAGTTTGATTCATAAAATTGCGTTTTGAAATTATTCCTAGTTCATTTTTTTAAAAACGAGAAGATGAAATAAAAAAAAAATTGTAAAAAAAATAATAAATATTAAAAATAAAGCATAAAGATGCAGGTGTGACAGATTACAAATAAACGAACAAAAAAGGAAAGAAAAAAATCAAAATTAATAAAATTTTTAACTCATTTGAAAAAATTACTAGGAAGTGGTTGAAAAAAATTATTCCAGGAAAGACCGAGTGTAAGAGGAGAGGGTTCTTAAATTTAAATTTAGATTCTGTTACCTTATCAAAGCTTAATTCTTCTTAAGCATCAACTTTGTTTGAATATGAATCATTATTTTTTAGTCAAATTTGTTGAATCATCAAAAAATGGTCCTTTGATGGGAATAGTTAGCAAAGCAAAAAAATATGAGATTATGAATTTAGTTCTTTTAGCATAAAAGAACTAAAAAAATTGGGAAATTTCTGTGCAATTTTAGATGAAAAAATTGAATAAAAAACGCTATTATGTATTGAATAAATATTTAGAAAAATACTAAACTGACTGAGAAATTAAATAATGAATGCGATGATTCATCGCAAAAATCTATTGGAGAATGCAATAACATTTTATTTTAAAAAATAGAAACAAATTTAGCCGATAAATTGTAAATTTAAAAAAATGTGAGTGGACAATGAATTCCTTTAAAATCTTTACGCGAAAAAGATTGCCTAATAATTCAGTTGGCAGAAGGAAAATAGATAAAGCAGGGCGAGGAAGATGAAAATTGGCTGACCACAAAGACGGGCACAAAAGCAATAACTGACAAAAAGGAGTAAAAAACGACAGGGTTTGAAAAGAAGAAAAAGATTTTTGCACAATTTTGAAGCTACTCTCGCGGGATTTGAAAAAAAGGCGAGTGAAAATATGCAGTTTTGGAAAAGTCCAATTGAAGAGAATCAGGGCTGTGCGTCATGGCGTTTGGCGTTTTGCGTTTTGGCGTTAATTTTGGCCGATTTTTGGCGTTTTGCGTTTGGCGTGATTTTCCGATTTTGGCGCGCCAAACGCCAAAAATATACACCCCTAATGATGGAATTTTTTTTAAATAAATGTAGAAAGGGATGATCGAAAAAGGAAATTTTTCTGCATACAGTCATCCAAAATTCTCAAAATTTTCGCCTGCGGCGCATAAAAATGAAGAAATCTACTACTTGGACTTAAAAATTTTCAAAATTTTCGCCTGCGGCGCTTAAAGGAGGAAGCCCTTATCTTAAACTACCTTATAGATAATAGAAAAAAACTTAAGTCCCGTCAATCATTTACTCTCTTCATGACCTCTGTTATACTCATTACTCCCTTTATCCCTTCATATCCACCTTAATCTCAAGGAGTTCTATGAATTTCTTATTTTTTAAAATTTTTTAAAAGATGAATTTCGGCTTCTTTGCCTCCAAAATTCTCAAAAATTTTGCTTCGGCGGTAAAAAAAGGATGAATCCTGGCTTCTGTGAATCTTGTAAATTCAAAAAATTTCGCCTGCGGCGCTAAAATGAGATGAACAGTGGTTTTTAAGTCTTTATAGACTCTAAAAATTTTGGCGTTTGGCGTTTGGCGTTTTGGCGTTGATTTTGGCCGATTTTTGGCGTTTGGCGTGTTTTTAAAATTTAAAAAATTGGCGTTTGGCGTTTGGCGCGCCACGCGAAAATTTTGGCGCACAGCCCTGAAGAGAATCTATGAAGTTTCATTTTATGTTGTTCAACTTATATTTCATGTTGTTTCAACTTGGAAGGACATGAAGCAAAAAACGCGTTCTAACAAAAACGTGTCCTCAAATACACAAATTTGCTGGTCAACAAAATCTTTTATTTGCCTCCTTTATTTTACAACAATGCTTTTTTAAGTATGGGCAACTGTGAGCGGAAAAATAGATAGATTTATTCAATTACATAATCTTTCCTTCAGCTAGTTAGTCACTCCATTTCAACCCATTCCCTTGCGCTTTTAGAACTTTAAAAGATACACTCAAGTGGCAACATTCGTTAACTAGAAATTCGAGAATCAATGTGATTTTTCAAAAAGAGAATCGTTAAAGACAAAAGATTAAAAAGTGATTTTTTTGGATTGAATCTATGGGAATAGCCACACAAGTCAAGAATTAAAAATGGATTAGCGGTCAATGAATTAATCATAAAAAATCTCAGAGGCTCTTAATTATACATATTTAATTTTAGCCATTTTTAGCTGGCTGTAAAAAATGGAAGCGTGGAAATATTAATTAAACTGTTGATGCGTAGAAAAAATAACACCAAAAATCTCTCGGAATTTTGTTTGCTCGCCATACTTTCCAATCACGTCCACCCCCCTTCTATTCAACAACTAGGTAGATGAAAAACCGCTGATGCAATGAAAGGATGACAAAAAATATATGAATGAAAAAAAAACAAGACAAAAAATATAAATCAATTAGTGAAAGGCCAGAATTTGGAAGAAAATGGGCAGAAACTAATGAAATTTTGGGCGATTAAAGACAAAAAACTACATATAATTTATTGAGGCAAGAAACAACTTGATGAAAAAAATTGTAGGTTGAATGGTTTGACTAGATTATAAAAAAGTAGCACAAATGTTTTATTGCAATTAAATTTAAGAGGTACATAATACTTCTTAAGCTGGCCGAAAAAAAATAAACTTGATTTATTAGTGTAGGATATGTGTTGTTGGACTTAAATAAAGAGCAAAAAAAGGAGGTTTTGAATTAGAAACGATAAAAGAAAGAAATTATAATTACATATTTTGCGAACGTGGATATGTATGTGATTTAATTAGTTGTCCCAATCATAGCAACAAAATAACTTAATAAAATATTTTGGAAAATATTAACACATCCAAATATGTAAAAGGATCTCCAAAATAAAAATATGTATAAAAATTTTGTCAGCCCATTTCAATAAATTTGGCTACTTTATCAAAATATGTTAGAGAGAATACAATCATAAGAAGATGGCGGGAGTATCCGGCAGAGATCCTTATCTTGCACAGAAATTCCCCAAAAATAATATTCAAGGTTAAGAGCTATAAAAAATTTTCTGAGAATAGCGGTAAATAAAAAACAAAAGTTTCAATTAGAAGTAAAAAATATATAAAATGACTAGATATCGAGAAAAATTAGAGCAAAGCCAAATAATTAAGATATGTAATAAAACAGTCAGTAATGAGAAAAAGAAAATAATAAATTATGTATTTAAAAGTATTTAGGAAGGAGATTAACCGGATTGTGCATCAAGAGTGTAATTGTCAAAAATAAATTAAATATATAATTTTTTTTCTAATTTTGGAGAAAATGTCAGAGAAATGACCAGGGGCCTATTTCAATTGTCCACAGATTCTGCATTCTGTGCACAGAACACAGATTCTGTGGAAATTCTGTTTCAATTAAATTCTGTGTGCACAGAATCTGTGGTGCCCGCAGATTCTGCGGAAACATCCAATGATTCTGTGGAAACATTCCGCAGATTCTGTGGATGAAAATTTCTGTGGAAAATATAAAAATCTGTGGATTTTTTCCACTGATCCACAGAATTTGTATTTCAATTATTTTTCTGTGGTTCTGTGTATTTTTTCTTCTAAATTCAAATTTTTTATTTCCGCGTTTTTGAAAATAACAGTTTTATTGAAACGAAAAATGGTTTGGACAGTTCGGTACTACCGCAGTATTAATGGTACCTGATTTTTTGAAGTAAAACTTTAAAAATTCTTAAATTAAACTGAAAAATATTGTAAAGATTTAAAAATTTTCCCTCCAAATCACATAACATCCCTTTAAATCTCTTTGATATCACTTTAAAACCGCTGATATACCGCTTAATTTTCTTGTTCATCCAATATCCTTAAATCTCCAATTAAATTAATGTCCTAAAGCAGGGTTCGGATCGGAAAAATCAGGAGATGTCGATCCGACATGTGGCTTTTTCAAACTACGATAGAAGTTGTTGCAAGGGAGGGAAATGTTACAAAACTGGGGATTGTTTAGTCAGAAATTGAGGTTCCTGGAAATCGAAAATGCCTGGAATCCAAAATTATAGTCAAATCGGAACTTTAAAATCGTAGAGGAGTGATTAAGTGGGATATCCATTGATTTTGAGGTTTAATATATTGGAGTGATTAAGGAGGAAATCTATCATTAAATAGGAGGAGAGATTATGACGGATATCAATGAGAGATCATGGGAGATATCCCAGTATACGCTATACAGATATCTTCTATAGATCCTGGTAAACATCCCCTCATTAGAGATATCCATGATGATTAGAACATCATAGCTCTAAATTTCAGAATCTCTCACGTTTTTTATTTTTTTATTGCTTGAATATAACAAAAACTGCGTAAAAAAGATGTACCTTTTTCAAAATTAATTTTAAGCAATAATTTTAGGTAATAAAATTATAATTTTTATATCAAAAAATAGAGAATGATTCAAACTTTAATAATCTTTAAAAATTTTGAAATTTGGTTAAGCCTAGGCCTAGAAAAAAATTGTTAAAGTTTTTCCACAGAAAGTTCGCAGAAAAAATTTTAGGGTGGATTTTTTAAAGAATTCTGTGTATTTTCCGCAGACCACAGAAATAATTGAAACAGAAATGCACAGAATCGACTAAAAAAGCCACAGATCTGTGGATTTTTTTCTGTGCACAGAAAAATAATTGAAATAGAATTCTGTGGTTTTTGCATGTTTTTGGATGTTTTGCAGAATCTGTGGATGTTTCCACAGATTCTGTGCATGTTTCCACAGAATCTGCGGACTTCTTTTTCCGCAGAATCTGTGGAATAATTGAAACAGAATTTCTGTGGTTCTGTGGTCTGTGCACAGAACGCAGACCGCAGAATCTGTGGACAATTGAAATAGGGCCCAGACAAAGAGTTATTCAACAATGTCCAGAAAAAAACAATGAAAGGAAAAAAGGAAAGAAGATTAAACTGTTGGTTAATAAAGGAAAGAAGAAAAATGGTAAAAAGAAAAGCAGCGCGCGAATTGTCTATATTTTTGTGAAAAGTAAAATGGTAGGATGGTAAAAAAATGAAGAAGATAGAGACATCCGGTCAACATTTTTTAATTCAATTTAATAGGAAATGAAGATGTAGGGGAAGGGAAAAATCGGAAATTGAGGGAAATGAATAAATAGAAAAGAGAAAAAGGAGAAAAAACGCAGATGTTCGTTATTCCAAAATTTGCATTAAAAAATTATAAAAAGTGACTAATATTTTAAAATAAAAACACAATTATTAAAAGAGTTTGTAGTTATAAAGAGCAGGGATGGAACGGTTTCCAAAAACGGACTTTTTTCCAACCTGATACCCGATCTGAAGCAAATCTTGAAAACACCGATCTGACGATTTCACAACCAATTACTGATACAGAGGTAAAAATTAATGAAAAACAAACACAGAAATGTGGAAAATGGGTGGGCCAACAAAAATTGTTTAAATTTCGCAAATAATAGTGGATTTATTTTTGAATATGTGAGCTAAATCTGGGCCATACAAACAAACTCTTTAAATAAAAGGCACAAACAGAAGTGAAGGAGTGAAAGAGAAAAATTGGCAAAGAACACGTACTCTACAATTAGGGGTGGCCAAATAATATTTGGGGGATAAATGTGGAGAAAACACTTTTTCTATTGAACCAGCCACTTGGAAATATGTGAAGAAACAATAATGGCAAAAATAGAATATAAAGAGCAAAAGAGGAGAAATAATGAAAATGGAGAAAATACACATTATAAATTTTTAATTTTGAGGTTCGAGAAAATGACCTCTACAAAGTTAAAATAATAAATAATATAAAATTAAAAATGGAAATAGAGAATTTAAAGAGTTGCTTATTTTTAAACCCAGTATGTACTGCAAAATGGCTGATGAATTAATTATGGACTTGGAAGTTGAGGAGATTGAAAGGGGGTAAATTGCGCAAAGAATGTAAGAAAAGGATGAAAAGACTATTAAAAATAGAATGGAAAATAGAATAATTGGTCATCTGGTTGATGGGAACGCGAATGAAATAAACACTTGACATCCCCCAATTAGTTAAACAAGAAAACTCGGATAAAATTTAACCAAAAAAATAAACTGGTCCCTAAACCCCTGGCACTTGTAAACATGTGATCTATCGGGCTGTTTAGTTTAGTGTTAGTTAAATACAAGTAAATTTCTTTTCCACTTCCCATCTCTATAAGTGCCCTAAACCCACATAAGTAATTAAGAAACCTGCCTTCATATCAACTGCACTAATTGAATTCATCAACCATATTCTAATTGTACACACTGGAAATCAGAGGTGGTTTTTTCTTTGCACATGAGAATACCTCAGAATGTTGTTAAAAAATATTGAATGATAAACTAGAATAAAAGAATAAATTCCTGAAAAAATTTAAAAAATATTTCAAACAAAAATGTTAAAAAAAACCGGAGGTTCTTGGATGATAAACGATTAATTCGGTTGTTAAAAAATGTTGTTAGGAATGAGCGGGTCTTTGCGGCGAATGATTGAGATTTTAGGCCCTACTTGTTTTCCACGTCAGCAATGTTGCTTTCCTCGTTTATAATGACAAAAACGGCGCAAAACTGTAAAATATTATAGGTCTGATTAAGATGGATAAAGAAAAAGGAAAGCTAATCAAATAAAGTACACGGTCTTGAAATTATCCAAAAGAGAAACCACAAAGACAAATGGGCCAACCCCGGAACCTGAAGTATATGGACTTGAATCTTGACTCACAGAAAAATCAAAGAAGATATATGGGCCAATCCCGGAGGCTTAAGTAACATTGTCTTAAATCGTGTGTCATAAGGCTAGCCAGATAGTCAGAGACAAACAGGGCATTCTCGGAAGCTTTTATTTACCCAAGACAATAACTAAACTCAAATCACAAACCTCATAAACCTCGACAACTCTCTTAACAATCTTTTGAGAATTAGTAGATCCAAACAGAATATTGAGCTGCCCTCCCTCAAAATAAGGTTTCAGTGATTTTGAAATTTTTGTTCCATCTTTAGGCGAAACCAAAGCAAAAAGTTGTCTCTTAGTAGATCGACCAGATTTCAGTAAATGAAGAGCAAAACTGGTAGCAAATTAATTGAATTTAAAGTTGGAGTAATTAGGAGAGTAGTCATTAGAATAATTAGAGGTTAATGTTAACATCTGAAAAAGTATTTAATTAAAAATGCGTAACATTAAAAATCAATTGAATCTGTTGAAAAAGAAGGAAATACACGTAAAATTAATGTAAGTGATCTCGATTGGAGTTAAAAAATGGGTCAAGGTAAAGGAAAAAGTTGTTGAAGACGAATATGTGTAAGACTCAAATGTACTAAATTTAAATGGGATGAATTGACATTAAACAGAATGCCAAAAATAAAATCGATAAAAACACGGCAGGACGATTAAGCACAGAAAATCAATAAACCCACCACTTTGCTCTCCAGGCTTTTCCCAGTAAAGCTTCCCCCTCTTCCCCCAATGAACTATAAACCTCAATTCATCCACCATTGAAGCACATTCTGCCATACCATCCATACCACTGGTTGAGCTAAAACTTTCAAAAATTTCTTGAAATTAAGAAAATTGAAAAAAACAAAGACAAGAAAGACAAGGACAAAAAACAAGAAAATGAAGAAAGGGTGGGGAGAGCTTCGCGCATTTTTAGCAAGCGATTTTTCATTTAAAAATTTTGAAGATTTACCGGGCCAAAAGTTGATCAGGAAGAGGAAGAGCATGTAGACGAGCCACCACCATTGCATGTAGACGAGCCACCACCACCAGTGCATGGAGTAGAGAACCTGGCTGAAAATCACCCCCTCCCATTATAAATTTTAATTTTTTTTAATTTTTAAATAAAAAACCACACCCCGACCATATACCAACATCACATCAAAGGCAGGCCACAAGAAGCATGAAGAGCCTCCAACCACCAAGAGCACCGCCAACCACCAAGAGCATGAAGAGAGCCACCAACCACCAAGAGCATGCCAACCACAACCACAAGCATAAATTTTTAAAAAATTAAAAAAAATTTTTTTTATTAAAAAAAAACAGGCCCCCAGACCACCACCATGAAGACCATAAGCATATTCTCCAAAGGCCACCACATGAAGAACAATACATAAAAATAAAAAAATTTCATTTTTAAATTAAAAAGTTCAAAATAAACTAGGAAAAAACCCACCGTTTGGTTGAAGCCCAGCCACGGCCACCACATGCCACCATGTAGAGCACGGTCGAAGGGGCCTAACAAAATGAAAAATTTCAAACTCAAATTTTAAAAAGAAAAAAAATGAATTTAACCGGCCAGCCATCCAGCAGAAGCATGTCCAGTTGTCGGGACTGGCCTTCAATTTGAAAAAATTTAGATTTTTTAAAAAATTTTAAATTTATTTTTTAGCAATTTTAAGCGCGCGCAGCAATTGGGTCAACGAATAAACGAATAAAAAAATAAAAAACAGATGAAATAATTGAAAAAATAAAAAAAACAACATAAACGCGTAATCTCCGGAGATTAACAAAAATATGAAAAAATCCAGATTTCAGAAAAAAGTGACGCCAAATAAATTTGAACTGAAATTTAACGCATTTCATTATGTTAATTTTAATTTGGAAAATGTCAAAGTGTAAACTAGTTGTTATTTTGTCGATAACTCTAAAAAGTATTGACGGAAAGTCCAATGACGGAAAGTCCTTTGACGAAGATTCGTGCCACCTTCTTTTTAATTAAAAATGCTTCTTCTTTCATTCTTACTATAATATTAAAAAAATTTTGTTTTTAGGATTTATTAAATTCTTTCACTATGGATAACAACGACGAGGCTAAAAATCGCAAACATCAATTTTGGCAAACTCAACCCGTTCCAGGACTTGGTTTATTTAAGTAATATTTTCTTAAAAATTAATTTAAAATTATAGGGATCAAAGTTGAAGAAAATACTTTTATTGAGGCTCCTCTTGAAGTAGAAAAAATTAGAAAAGAGCCATATTCATTGCCAGAACCATTTTCATGGTCGGAAGTTGATTTGTTATCAAATGATCAATTAGACGAATTATATACACTTCTTAATGAAAATTATGTTGAGGATGATGAAAATATGTTTCGTTTTGATTATGGACGTGATTTTTTAAAATGGTTACTCTTCTTTTTTAATATATTAAATAAAAAATTAAATTAGGGCTTTGACGCCTTCAGGTTGGAAAAATTATTGGCACTGTGGTGTTCGTGCTGCTGGTTCTAAATTGTTGGCTTTTATTGCTGCAATTCCTGCTCTTATAAGAATTTATGATAAAACAATTCAAATGGTTGAAATTAATTTTTTATGTGTGCATAAAAAGTTGCGTTCGAAAAGATTGGCACCTGTGTTAATCAGGGAAATCACACGAAGAGTTAACTTAAGTGGTATATTTCAAGCTACTTTTACTGCAGGAATTATTATTCCAAAACCGGTTGGTTCATGCAGGTTTGTTCAAAATATTATTTTGATTATTAAATTCTCTAAAAATATTCTTAGGTATTGGCATAGATCTTTAAACCCAAAAAAATTGATCGAGACAAAATTTTCGCATCTTGGGAAGAATATGACGCTTCATCGTACTATTAAACTTTATCGACTTCCAGAGGTAACCCTTTCTAAAAGAATACTTAAAAAATTATTTTTAGAACACACATTATCCGCTCAAACCCTTAGCTAAAGAGTATATACAAAGCGCTTTCGATTTGCTCACAAACTATTTGACGAAATTTGATATTTGTCCAATTTTCAGTCTGGAGGAGTTTGAACATTTTTTCATGCCGAGGGAAGACGTAATTTATTCTTATGTGATCGAGGTTTTTTTGTATTTTTAAATCTCAATTAGACTTTAATTCCTAGAACAATGGTCAAGTAACGGATTTCATTAGCTTTTATTGTCTTCCCTCTACAATTGTTCACAACCCAATACACAAGGAAATTAGGGCCGCCTATTCTTTTTACAATGTCGCTGGATCTGTTCCGCTAAATAAACTGATAAATGATGCTCTCATAATTGCCAAAAATGTAATTTTATTAATTTAATTTTAAACTTTATTTTTTTATAAAGATGGGATTTGATGTTTATAATGCTCTTGATTTGATGGAGAATCAAAGTTTTCTTGAAGAATTGAAATTTGGAATTGGTGATGGTAATTTGCAATACTACTTATACAATTGGAAATGCCCAGATATTGCACCTGCGCGAATAGTAAGCTCTAAAAATTTATAAAAGAAAAAAACATTTTTCAGGGTCTAGTCCTACAATGACACTAAAGAAGATGGGCGAAATATTTTAAAGTTTTTTTAAAAAATGTTGATCTTCTATTTTGGTTATATTTTAAATTTGTTTTAATTAATCTTAACGAGTAAAAAATGTTTCGTAACTTTAGTTTTACTTTAGGATATATAAAATACCGAAATGTCGGTGTCGAACAAGTACCATTTACAACATTAAACATGTAAATTATTTAAAAAAGCATTAAGCAAATCACACGCTCTCATCTAACCTTTGTTCATCATCCATACATATAAATTCCTTCTCATTGTCTTCTGTCTCTTAATCAGAATCTTGTTCTCCTTCATCATTTTCATCATCAAGCATATCTTTGAAGAATTCAGCTACTTTAGTCAACCTTTGTTTCTTTTCTGCCCTTTCATTCTCTTTAAATTTATGCATATCTTGTGCACGTAAATATGGAACATCTCTCACTAAATCCTCCAATTTGAAAGCATTCAATTTTGTTCCATCTGCAGTTGTCACCAAGAGAAATGAAAGGTCGGAAGATTTTACCATTAAGCCCTGTAATAGATGTTTCAATTGCATTCAAGAAGTAATCGACGTAAAGGTATGGTAAATATAAACCAGTTGGTTTAAATATATTTTTACTAAGATTTCTTCAGTATTTTTTAAAGGGTTAAGTACTATATCTTCATTAAATGCACGTCGATTATTCGTCGATTGCATTCAAAACGTTTTTAAATCACTTACAATTCCATCAGGATAGCAAATTCCGCCAAGTGATTTATTTGGATTGACATGCATAAACCTAAATGATTGAATAATTAATAAAATCTAGATTAGAAACCTCATTCCATCATGAGTTGAAGCTCCGGCCAAAAGTAGGTCATCTCTCACTGTTTCTAATTGTTCAACCCCCATAATTAAAGGTGTTTCAATTCTCTCAACAATATTACCAAATTCACCATTATTGAAGACTTCAATATATCCATCAGCTGCACCAACGTAGGTAAACCTGTACAACAAGGAAAATTAAAATAAGTTGATTTCTAATTACAAACCTTTTGGTAACAGCCAAAGAAAGTAATTCGCTGTGCATAGTCTCTGAGCAAAGCCTGAGCTTTCTTTTGTATATGTCATAAGCAGCAAGAGTACCATCTCCACTAGCAGATAAAAGACAGTTTTTCCATGTAGAGAAACTATCTGAATGAATATGAAAAAAAGAAAAATGAAAGTTTAGACTTATTATATCATCCTGATCAGTAAATGCAGCAATTTGAGGTTTAGTTAGTCGAAAGTCCCACATTTTCACCTTAAAGCTACTTATTAAAAGATGCAAAAAATTTAGAAAATTTTCTAGGGTGTCTACAAGCCTTATAACGTAAAATAAAATTCAAAAACATGCCTCACCATTTTCAGCACCAGTTGCGAAATGTAATTTGCCACCCATTGAAGGATTTAACAATGAAATCTCATTTGGTCTGCTTTTATGGCTTTGTCGAATACATCGTATGCGTTTACCAGTATCAGTATCAAACATGCAAAGTGCTCTAAAAATTTTTAATGTTAGCTCATAAATAAAATTAAAAAAACCTATTTGAAGCAGTAACAAAAATAAAAGAACCATCTGTAGAAAATGTAATAGCTCTTATCGCCATTTTCAACTTTCTCCTCCATTTTTGTTCAACTCTAACAGGAAGCGATTCATTTTTGTCTGAGTCACTCAAAATCGTTAAATTATTGTAAGTAATTCCACCATCCAAAAATCCTAAGCATACTTTATCATATTGACTAGGGTGAATAGCAATTGAGGAGATAGGAGTTTGAACTTCCAAAGTTTGAATTTTTGTGCACATTTAACTGAAAAATTAGAAATAGAATCTTGTCAAAACTACCTTCCTTCAAAAAAGGCATTTATCCATTTTCCATTTTGTCCAAAGGCTTTTTGGTATTTTCCCTTTTGAAATTACGATTTACAAAATTCTCACTTCGGTAAATTTCACATTGCCAATTCCGTAATTCGACATTCGGCCAGTGCGTCAATACACCTTCAATGGACAAATCTGCTGATCAAAATAAAATCCTCAATTTTAAATCCTGCGCCTTTTGTCCGACTGATAAACTTGAGAAGGATCTTTATAAATGTCCGAAATGCCAAAAATTTTATTGTTCTGTTCGTTGTTACCGAAGCAAAAAACATTTGGAATGTTCTGAATTATTTTTTAAAATGCAGTGTGAAGAATTAACGGTAATTTTAAATTTTTTCTAATAATATTCATGAGTTTCTTTAGGAAAATTCTGCAGAAGAAAAGTCGACTTCTTCAATTAATAGACCTGTTACTACTTTTGAACAGTATATGCATGAACAAAATAACAACAAACCAGAATTGGATGAGAAGCTGATAAATCCGGAAATCCCACTAGAAATCAGGTATACTTTTTATTGTTGAGCCTTAAATTCAATTCCCTATTTTTTCTATTTTAAGCCCCGATGAACAATTGCTTTTCGATTCGGATGATGAAGCTGAATATCTCAGCGATGTTGTTGAATCTTCTATGAAGCAATTTGAAACAATTGACGATGAAGAATTGGACAGAAATTTACTAGCTGCTGGGCTACCAATTGTGCTAGAAAGGGGATCAGAAGAAGAAACACAAGAACAGTTAGAAAAACTTTTTAAAAGCCTGGATGATGATGAGAAAAAGAAATTTACACAAATGGCAGAAGGACTTTTTGAAAAAGATTTTCTTGCTTATACAAATTGTTTTCGTAAGAAAAAATCTAAATAAATTTTATTTTAACTTTTTATAAATTTTCAATCGTTTTTATAACATACCCTAATAAGTATATCTATTTTTGTCTCCAAAAAATATAAATTTATAATTCAAAATTACCTTTCCAGAATGCATCAACTCTTGTTTAGGTCATTTTTGTGTAAGAGGTTTGTTAGACACGCTATGACTTCAACTGCTTCCAAACGAGCCATTCCATCTAAAGACAGTCAATCAAGAAAAGTCATCGAGCCTGAGGCTTACATGGTAAAGGAGAAGAGGGATTTTGTTGTCCAAAACATAAAACAGGTTGTTTCCGATCAGACTCGAAAACTTTTTGCCGTCATCTATATACAAAATGTTAGTTTATTTTATTTAAATGAATTAATTTTTAAACCTTAGAAGCAATTCAAAGTCATGCAAGACGATTTGATCCACATAGAAAGCAACATTCCAGTAGATGTTGGAGATGAAATCAAGTTCGAAAAGGTACATTAATCCCATTATAATCTGATCAAAGTTTTCAGATACTATCGGTTGGAGGGCTCGATTTTTCCATATTTGGCAGGCCATTATTAGACCCCAAATTTGTACATGTGCACGCAACTGTTATTGAAAAGGTAGGCTAACCTAAAAAGAATATAATTATTCCCTAATTATCAGACAACCACATCACCTGAAATTATCTACAACTTCAATACCATGTACATCCACAACCCGTTATGTAAGACAAAAATATTTGAAGAATTATTCTTTTATTTTAGGGTTAAGTCAAGAACTTAATGTAATCCGAATTAATAATATAAATGTTGAAGAGGCTGCTTTTGAAATGGAATGAAAATTTCTTTTTGATATGTTTATCTTTGATAAATTTTTATTAACTTATCACAATTAACAAATCTTAATTATCCCACTGTTGACAGTAAGGTTAAGACACTGTCTTGGGCTAATGCCCAACAATGTGTCAATCGACGAGCAACCTGGGATAATTTACCGAATATTTGTCGAGCGTCAATCAATTTCTTAAGAATGCCACCGAAATTTAACATTTATTTTATTTGGTTAATATTAAACAAGGTACGAGAAAAATCAAAAAACCTATTTCTGTAAACATGTTAGAAAGATGAGAACACAGTTATAATATTTAAATTTATATATATCTCGTTACTACTTTGTCTCGGTTGTTGTCTGCAATACGGAAGCATTGAACGAATTAGCGGCGAGTTGGTTATGATGAAAATTTTCAGTCTCGTGAAATATTAATTCTTTAAGCTTCTCACGTGGAAGATCGTCAAATTCCATTTCAAATGTGAATGGCTCTTCACATGACGGCTAAAATTATTTTGAAATGGGAATTTTACAAACCCCGTTCCCTTTCCCTCAAACCTCGTCATTTGGGTCGTAGTATTGTTCCATATATGGATGTGCAAGAGCCTCCTCAATACCAATTCGCTTATTTGGATTGAATGTCAACATTTTATCAAGCAAGTCTAAAGCTCTTGGGTCAGCACTGGGATATAGTCGAGACCATTGTTGTTTGACTTTAGGTTGTAAAGATAGGAGGTAAGCACGAGCCTCGAATAATAATTAGTTATTTTGTAGAAAGACAAAAAATCAAGAGTTCTCATAAAAGAAAATCACTCAATTCAATTAAAATAAAAACCTTTTCATTAATAATACACTGTAAATCTTCTTGGGATGGCGAGCCAACAACTGCTAATATTAAATTAAGTTGGTCCAAATAATGCTTCCCAGGAAAGAGTGGTCGATTGTTCAACATTTCGGCAAGGATACAACCAACTGACCAAATATCGATCGATTTTGTATATCCTTTGGAATTTAACATAATTTCAGGCGCTCGATACCATCTATTAAAAACATTCTAACATTTTAAAAAAGCAATAGAAAACCTAGTTGCCACATATTCAGTCAAAAACCCAGTATGGTCATGTTCAGGATCAGAAACTCGAGCAAGTCCAAAATCACAAATCTGTAAAAATCGTGATTCATTGTCGTAAAAATTAAATTTAAAACCTTGAGATCACAAGTAGTATTTAATAAAAGATTGCTAGGCTTTAGGTCTCTGTGAAGAACATTGGCAGAATGAATATATTTGAGGCCGCGTAGAATTTGATATAAAAAATAACAGATATGGTCATTCGAAAGGCGTTGCGTTTTAAGCAACTTATATAAGTCTGTTTCCATCAAACACTGCACAA